ATCTTTGTTTCTAGAAGAACTCCTCTGAGAATATGAACCTCTAGTCCCAGAAGGGGGACCAGAGCTAGAAGAAGGAGTGGACGTACTACCACCACGAGCAGATCCTAGGCTACAGAGTCTACCCCCTCTTCTATGTCTAATCGGAGCATTGGGGAAGCTATCTAGAATGGGGGTTCTCCTAGGGTTAGGGTTTGGTGAAGCCATGACAAAGAAGGTTGAAGTGAGGCGGAAAAGAATAAGAGGGTTTTGAAGGATTAGAGTGTATGATACGCTTTATGTGGAACAAGACAAGTAGAGAAGTTATATTTATACTAATGGGTAACCGGCAAAAGGAAAAAATACGATGATGGAAGAACCAAAATAATGATAACTAACACTTCGTGAACAGTGAAGCCGAAAAGAAAGCCTGAGAAAGTGCTGCAAAATTGTGGAACCAATAAGAGGACGACACGTGTCTAATGCATTAAATAGAAGTGATAATTGAAGTGTCAACTCTGTCAGAGCATTAATGGTGACAAAAATTCTCCTTTATTGAATTCCACTTCCCAAATATTCAAACTGATGAATAAATGAAAAGTGGGGGGACTATCTGTATTGGGAAAATTATATTTATATATATGGTGACGTGTTATCATGACACGTGAGATGGTCAATAAATTATAATTAGCTACGATTCAAGAATTACAAAGCAGGCACGAGTAAGTAAAAAGGAAGAGGCACAGGACAAGAGGATCATCGCCCGTACCTGTCTAAGTTTATTTACATCCGAGCAATGGAAAGAATGAACATGGCTATAGAAAAGGATGCAGATACGGCATTTAATGAGAATTAAATGCTAAGTCCGTTAAGGAATATATACATTCAATGTAATGATTATGTAACGTAGCATTCAATGTCATTAATTACTCATAATAGCCTCACTATGATTTAGACACAACGGACATTCCCAAAGGAACCTATAAAAGGGAGATATGTAATCAGTTGAGGGAGAGAAGGCACTATTGAAATATACTCTGATTTACTAGCTTTCATACCTTACTATTCTCAAATTTCTTTCTTTATATACTCTTCCGATTATCAGTAACCCGTATTCTTCTAAATTCTAAGCTTTGACTAAAAATCTATTTTTTGGTTAAACAAGAAGAATAATTAGCTAAAGCATGTTGACAGCCACAGATGCAAAGTAACTGGCGTCTCTTTGGTTTTCCTATGAACATATCTGCTCGCTAGAGAACAATAACAAAGCTTGAAGTACGCTAGATTTTGGTTGTACTTTGGATCATGAATTTATATCTTTTAGGACATGGCAGGCTAGCCGATTAAATTTATCAAGAATTTCTTGGAATTTTGGAGTTTAGATTATGTAATGAGCTAAGAAATAATTATGATTTCATAAATTGCGGATATAGATTTTTTCATGGGACAAATGTTATTGAGATAATCCTAATAATTGACTCAGCTACCTTTTAAGTATTTTGATGCGGATAAGGTGATCAATGAATATACTTTTGAGTGATGTTCGTGTATTGGGAAAAAGTTGAATTTATATTGAAGATGACGTGGCGTGACACGTGGACTGGACAAATAGTCAAAGTATAACAATTAAGAAAAAGGTACGGGAGATGACAGGTACGAGAAGAGAAAGTGAAACAGGCACGAGAAGCAGTTTAGATACGAGTCTCGTATCAATTCGAGTCATTTAAAGCCAGTGGATCAAAAGGCATTGAAAACATGGATCTGAAGACAAAAAGGAGTCCAAATTCAGTATTAAATACCTGATACGTTAGAAAATTGGTATTTAATAGGAATGATTGTGTAACGGCTCATTTAATATCATTTATTGTCCATAATTGTCTCATTAAAGCTTAGGTTTCATTCCTTTATCTAGAATCAACTATAAAAGGAGGAAGTTGTATTGGGAAAAGATAATGGTTGACATCATACTGAAATAAAAACTTGTTCGCTGCTTTATTATTATTCTCAGAAAGCCTATTATTCTTTTTTGGTCTCTTGATTATCAGTAACCCGATTTTTCATCTCAAATTCTAGTTTTAACTGAAATTATATTTTTTGGTTAAACAAATTGGTTCCGTTACCGGGAATTTGATAATCTATTTTTTTTAAGTTACATTCTATCTGTTGTTATCATCATGTCACACGACAATAATAACAGTGAAAACACCTTGGGAAACCGTGAAAATCAAATGCATCAAGATCAAGGAGATTTGCAGAACTTTAACGTGGTCCCTTCTCTTCAAAATTCACCACGTCAATCTCGTGAAGGCACTCCTAAATCACATGCTGATGAGCAAGAGCAATCAGAACATTTTGAGGGACCTAAAGAAGCTCTGCAAAGAATAACTGATGCACGGGTTAGCCAAGCTCTTCAGGCGCTAGTTAGCCGGTTACCTGCTGCACCGTCCACACCTTCGCCTAATAACAATACGCTGGAGAATCCTCGTTCTGGCCTTGTTAATTCAAATGAAGGAACCCCCATTGAACCACGAGAAATGAATCCAGGTAATACAAATAATTCTCATTTACAAAATTTGGTACTAACTTTGCAGACACAGCTCAAAGAACAAAACGAGCGCATCGAGCAAATCCCTGGAGTTCCCCCAATAATCAAAGGAATAGATGCGGATAAATATTCACAACAACCTTGGAAACCAAGTGCTGCTCCCCTTTCAATCCCTAAAAAGTTCAAAATGCCTGACATTTCAAAATATGACGCCGATCCACGTGACCATGTGACAGAATTTACTACAGGGGTCAAAGGAAATGATTTAACCAAGCAGGAGATTGAGTCCGTGTTGGTCAAAAAATTTGGTGAAACACTCACCAAGGGTGCACTAACCTGGTATTCTCTTTTGCCTGAAAACTCTATAAACTCTTTTGCTGAGCTTGTAGATTCTTTCATTAAGGCGCACTCAGGAGCACAAAAGGTTGAAAAAAGAATGGAGGACATCTTTAAAATCAAACAAGGGGATACAGAGTTGCTCAGAGATTTTGTTGATAGGTTCCAACGTGAACTAATGACTTTACCCCGTGTACCAGATAATTGGGCTGCAATAGCTTTTGCGAGCAATCTAAATGTTAAAAGTTCTGAAGCCACGAGAAGACTTAAGGAAAGCCTTCTAGAGTTCCCTGCAACCACGTGGAATGATGTGTATAACAGGTACAGTACGAAGTTGCGAATCGAAGAAGATACC